CTCACAGAGTTGAATTTTTGCTCACAAGACTCCACAGCTTAGAGGGAAGATTGGTTGGTGGGTTGGTTTAGGGTTCATTTATTGCTAATTGCCAAAGGTTGTAGCAGCCATAACATACGAGCTAACAGAAATTAAAAGAAAAACACACACAAAGACAATACAGATTTTAAAAATGCAAGAACCAAGCAGACCCCCAAATATTAAAATGTATAATAAAAAATAAAGTTCAAGTTTCTTTTCCATAAACGACAAGAAGTTTGGGCAATTTATTACCAGGTCGGATACAGCTTTGGCCCAGACCTTCTGAGTTACCAATGCAGAAATAAGTAACTTATTTTCTTTGTAAGCTTTTTATCTAGACCATATATCTATGGATAGGGTAATTAAAAAGGTGACTCTGAGATCTCTAGAACTTTTGTCTTTCCATCAATTGCATAGTCTTCATGGAACCAGATGTGGTCAGTTCTTCAGACAGAATTTTCCCCAGCACTGTACAAAACCCACAGGTTACATTGAGCAAATATAATAAATATGTCACAAGTTAAGTAAGTCTATTGACATAACGTCTAGCAACATAATGATGTAAATACAATAAAAATCTATGTATAGTTACATCTCAGTTACAGTAATAGAAACCAGATTGGTACCCAGGAATAACCTGCTACAAGATAGGCCCAACTGGAACAGAACACCATGGGTGGTCACATACAGCTCGCGACTCAATCCAGCTCAACACATCATTAATAATCTCTAACCTATGCTGGATAATGATACACCTTTCAAACAAACACCGGGAGGCAGACCTTTTCTTGCCCAGACAATCCCCCCACCTTAAACAACTTCTCACAATAACCTAACATGGATACAGTCTCTGGGGACCTGGGCCTGTAAGAAGGCAAGTTCCAGCGCTCTTTTTGTAGCAGGAACTCCTTTGCCTATTAGGCCACACACCCCTGATGTAGCCAATCCTCTGAGAGCTTACAGTAGCCCCCGTAAGAAGAGCTCTGTAAGCTCTCAGAGGATTGGCTACATTATGGGTGTGTGGCCTAATATGCAAAGGAGTTTCTGCTACAAAAAGAGCCCTAGGCAAGACGACAAATTTCTAGGGTTACCAACCCCCAGGTGGTGGCTGGAGACCTCCCAGAATTACAATTTATCTCCAGGCGACAGAGATCAGTTCCCCTGGAGAAAATGGCCGCTTTGGAAGTTGGAGTTTATGGCATTATACCCCATTGAAGTCCCTCCCGTCCCCAAACCCCACCCTCATGCTCTATCCCCCCCCAAATCTCCAGGTATTTCCCAACCTAGAGCTGGCAACCCTAAGAATTTTGTCCCCATATACATTCTAGCATCCAATCACCAGACCTACAACACCAGCCGCAACATCTCAGCCTCATTCACTTACTCATCATGCAACCACTGAGCATTAACTATGCCCTTCTATTCCCTACATTGGACAAAAAGGCTGGTCATTAGGCAAAAGAATAAATGGGAATAAATCTGACATTAAAAAAAACCAATAGTCAGACACCAGTGGGAGAACATTTTAATCTTACAGGACATTCCATTGCTGACCTGAGAGTGGCAGTTCACCTACAGAGAAGCTTCAAGGGTAGTTTACAATGTGAGACTGCCAAACCAGAATTCATTAACAAGTTCAGGACCATGGACACACACACACACACACGGGATTATTGTATTCTTCTTATTACAGATGCTAGTTTTAAGCACTTCCCACCTCTGTCCATATGCCCATGCTCCAGTTAAGCTGATTACATTTTGCATTGTACCTTTGCATCCTGACTCCAACTGGCTTCTGAACTGGATACAAAACGCTGTTACCTTCCCACCGAAGTGGTACCTATTTATCTACTTGCAATTTCTTGCTTTCGAACTGCTAGGTTGGCAGGAGCTGGAACTAGAGACGGGAGCTCACTCCATCATGCGGCACACTCGGGTCTCGAACTGCTGAACTACCGCTTCCACAGCCTGCAGTTCAGCGTCTTAACCACTTGAGCCACCGCAGCTCCTCAATTCTTCTTATTACAGATGCTAATTTTAAGCACTCCCCACCTCTATCCATATGTCCATGCTCCAGTTAAGATGATTACATTTTGCATTGTACCTTTGCATCCTGACTCCAACTGGCTTCTGAACTGGATACAAGGGCTGGTGGGTCTTCATTCTCATTTGTATCTGACAAAATGAGCTTTGATTCACAAAACTGCATGCAATCATGGAAAATTTTGTTGAACTTTAAGGTGTTTATGGGACTCAATTTCTGTCCTATATTACAATCCAAGTATTGCTATGACA